CAGTGTCCCACTGATCTTACAGGATGACTTATGCACATGAATATACCAAGGATATTGGTTCATTTGCTTTGAGAGACCCTTCATTTGTATTTTAAAAGTCTACTGTGGCTTTTGGTATGATTAAAAAATAAGGCCCATGATTATCATGAGTTCTTGAGTTTTTATTATGTGAGCTTTGGACTGCTTTGGGATATTGTCACATTGGTCAACTCGATGAAATAATCTTCTAGGACGATTTGTTCAAATCAGAAATCTTGCAAACATGTTTGGTACAATTTCCCATTTAAATTTTGTCTTCTATGCCTTCCAATATATGATAATAGCCCCAAAAGTATAGAAAACAAGCTTTTGTCTTTAGATGGTTGATATAATAGTAGAGTTCTTAACTTGTGATATATCCAGATAATCATCAGCTTAGCTCTCAATTATAATTAAAGCCAGGTGTGGTGGTATGTACTTATAATTCCAGCACTTGGAAGGCTGAGGCAAGGGGATCGCTTGAGTCCAGGACCTCAAGATCAACCCTAAAAAAATAATAAAAACACATCTCAAAAATTTTTTTAAAATTCTAAACATATGGCTTATCTGTTCTGTCTATTCTCACAAACTTTGGTAAATTTACCTGCTTAAAAACTTGATTGTAAATTTTTTATTGCCCTTTCATTAAATAATTAGATCTATAACCCTCTTCAAGATTTGGGTGAGTTTGTGATGAAATCAGGTCACTTAACTTCCACTTTGTGGAGACAGTTTTTGTGTTTCAAATTATCAGAGGGAGACCTCCATCTCAAAAGCATCTTGATCAATGGTATGGCTTGTCTGATTTGTCCGCTTTACATACAGAATTTAGAGCTTAGGAGTGAATTTGGCATGTCCTTCATCCAGGTATCTTCTGGCATTCAGCAAGGACAATGGCTATCACCTGTCTCTGCTCTGCTGTGTATGCAGTCTCAGCTGAAGAGATGCAAATGACTGAGTGTGATGTGAACGGCTGAGGGATGTGGTCACGAGAGGGTTCTTACATGCCTGGACATTGGTCTGGCATAAATCAAGGGCGGAGCTCAGCTGAGGCTGTTTCCTATAAAGCTTACACATGACTGTGTGCTCTACATGTGGCCATGTGACCTCCCTGTAATTGTTTAGATCTCTTCAGAGTATAGTGGCCTCAAGATAAATAAATTTTTAATACTAATTCAGGATATCATAAAAAATGCTATACAAATAAGGTGGAAATTTCCTAACCTGTTCTCAGAAATCATACAGCATTCAAGAGTCTTCCAAATCCAGGAGGAGTTCATAGATCCAAATTATGTATTGGTAAAACAACAAAGAAGTATCATGATGTCTTTAAAATAATAAGCTTAGCCAGACATGTCTGTAATTCAGTTTTCAGGAGGCTGAGGCAACAGTATTGAAAGTTTGAGGCCAGCCTGGGATATTAAAGTAATTTCATAGCCAGGCTGAACTACATAGTGAAGCCCTGCAAGAAAGAAAGAAAGAAAGAGAGAGAGAGAGAGAGAGAGAGAGAGAGAGAGAGAGAGAGAGAGAGAGACAGAGACAGAGAGAGAAAGAGAGACAGAGACACAGAGAGAGAGAAAAAAAGAGAAAGAAAGAAAGAAAAGAAGAAAAAGAAAGAAAGAAAAATTTATGTGTGAAAGATGTTATAGAATTTGATTTTTGAAATTCAGAATTTAAGCAAACAAATTATTCATTCAGTCAAAAGTCTGAAGAATATGACTGTGAACAAAGCAAAGTTTTTTGTTTCCTGAAGTTTAAATTCTGGCAGAATAATGGAGAGTAGAGAAGTTGATGATAAAGAAGCAACAAAATATATGGTCAAGATTATTTAGGATAGGACAGTATATCAGAAGAAAACAAATCAGGTTGCTAAAGACTGAACATTTGACAGAAACTTCAGTGTTATGTCTAAGGCTCTAGCTTACCACAATCATAAAGGTATGGGAAGTGAGTTGTCTAAGAACTAAAAAAATTCTAGGTAAGAAGTAAAATATTGGAAATGACAAAGGTTAGAAATGGTCTAAATTATCAGGAAGCACAGAATAGTTAAAAAAATGTAACATCCAAGGTCAAATGTCATACAAAACATTGCATTTGAGGCTGGGCATGGTGGCACACACCTGCAATCCCAGCACTCAGGGGGCTGAGGCAGGGGGATCACCATGAATTTGAAGCCAGCCTGGACTACACAGTGAGCTCAAGGTCAGCCTGAACTGCAGTGTGAAACCCTGTCTCCAAAAAAAATTAATTAATTTTTTAAAAATAAAAAATAAAATAACATAAAGAGTACATACATCTGAGGCTAAAGAAAGGAAATAGCCAAGGGTCAAAAGCATTGTATAAGTGGCGCCAGGAAAACAGTTGAATGAAAAGCCAAGAAAGAGTGCTGTCATGCTTCTCTTTGGTGAAGAGGGCTGATCTAAGAAACAGAGACAGGTCATGTCACTTTACATGGTGTCTATAAATGACGTAGGTAGGAGGCCTACAGAGAGAAGGCATTTGCAAGGCCTATAGTCATGGTCAAGGTATTAGGTCCTATACTATATTTAAAATGCATACAAATTAATTTCATGCATTCAATGGAGAAAAAGTGGGGAAGATACAATCAGGAAAATTAAGGAAAAGAAAATCAATGTTAGTACAAGGAAATGCAAAGTTAAACAGCAAAACAAAATGTACAACAAAAATTAAAAATAATAATAGTGAACTATTATTAAATGGTACACTCCTTGACCCCAAATACACATAAATAAATACATTTTAATGTTTATAGTGATTAGACTAGGTACACATATGACAACTTGGAAAAGTGTTAAAAAGTTCATGGAAGGGTAAGAACACATAGAAAAGAAAGTAAAAAATCGTTTTGCAACGTTTTGAAATGTACCAACAATACTATGTAGTAAATTTGAAGTGTTTACAAGAAGTAAAATGTGAAACCCTCATGAAGAGAGAAGAGCAGATTGAGTTGCTAGGACAATGGAGTTCAATTGTAGGCTTTCAAATGATCTGCTGTCCTTTCTTTGTTACAAAGAATTAGATCTAAGGTAAAAGGACAATGTGCAAAGGTGTTGAAATACAGCCGGTGATAGGGCCACTTTCAGAATGTTTGAAATATTTCATTAACAATTCTTTTGTTTTAAATACTGGAGACAAAAAGCCAGATGAAATATTAACACTGAATTCCTGTTTCCAGGACAATCATGGAAAGCCACTTTTCAGATCTGGCCAAGGTAGGCATCTGTCCTTCCACCAATCTAGATTGTATTGTCCTTTCATGGACTTTTTCTGTGTCTAGTTAAGGTCTTGAACTGTAACTTATAACTTAAATGTTTAACTTCCTACATGAGAATGTTAACACTAATCACAGAAATTTCTTGGTTTCTCTACTTGAAATATTTCGAAGTTCATGTGGTAAATGCAGGATTTTGGCAAGGTTGTCTTTAACCAACTATTTTTATAAATAGGTTCTTTTAAAATACTAATTATACAAGTCTGTTGTAGCTCGGAGTTTTCAATTTTGCTCTTCTGTACTGTGGCAAGAATTTTTTTTTTTTATTCCTTATCTCTGTGGTGGAGAAAAAAATGCCTTTTAGTTTGGGTAAGATTTGAAACATGGCTCTGAAAAAATTACCCATTTCTTGATAATTTCATTTCTAAAATTCCTTAAAATCGAATTCCTTCTGCTCAGCAGCACCCTATGATAGGAATAATGTGCTAGTTCATCACAGAGCCAAATACACTACACATGAACCTTGAGAATCTCGTGAAAGAGGTACCATGCTTCCCAGATTTAAATATATCGCCTCTGCAGAGACCAGGCTGTAGCCAAGAATAGACGCTATAGTCTAGATACCTGTGGACACCCTGGCTGTGGCAGCACACTTGGCTTGGGAATCAGCCCTATTGGTGACCCAGACCCCCATCCTGGACCAGCATCTCCATGACTGCCATCCTGGAGCGATCCTGGAGCTGAAGACTGGTATGGACGAGGCTTTGGACAGGGAAAATGACCATATGTGGGCTGCGAGGGTCAGAGAGCCTGCTGTTTGCTTGTTACAAACCCAGTGAGGCCTTCATCTCTGATCTGCTAGACAAGAATATCCAGGCATGCAGGAGCTGAGCACATCCCAGGAGAAGGAAGTCCCTGGCTCAGGTGAGGGTCCTCACATGACAGTCACCTGGTAGCAACCGCAATAATGGGGGACCCTGGAGCCAGGCCCCAGTGCCATGAGCAGGGCTCCTGTGTCCCTGGCCTCCTGTTTTCCTTTGTACCCCTCCCCTCAGTTTTCAATTGTAGGTTTTGGGTTTTTTTTTTTAATCTTTATTAAACTGGTGGGACTTTTTATGTTTTTATATTGATTTTGTAGCATGGACCCTTTCGTAAAACCAGAATACGTCTTTGAAGCAGCTAAAATCCAAACAGACAGACAAGCAAAAAAGACTAAATTTTGTAAGCATTAAATGCAAAATCAAATACCTCAGAATTCAAAATCAGTTCATTCCTTCCTTGTCCTTATTCCTAATGCTGGTAATAGTAACAGTAATTTGGAAATTTCCCTCAATACAATTTCTCTTGAGTTATTACTACCAAAGTTTAATTTTTTTCCCCAGAAATCATATTCTTACGAAGCACTCATGCTTCAGAACAAGCTCTAAGGTTTGGCGGAGGCAGCCTGAACCCTGCTTTCTGCCCCGCACGCTGGAATGCACAGCTCCCAATGATTTCCAGATATATCCGACCCCTTCCTGTCTGGGACACTGCATTGCCACATGACCTTTGCCAAGTCACTTTTTTCTGTTCTGCCATAACATAAGGTTGTAATTATGATGATCTGCCTTCTAGAAATGTGATGAGAAGCTATTCATAACAAAGATTGTAAAAATTGCAAATACGATGCGAAAGACAGGTATTAAATGTATGAAACCTTCTAGACTGAATATCCACTTCCTCCCTCCCACCACATGGCCTGAAAACTTACCTACAAGGCACAGTGCCCAGAGTTCACGACGAGGACCTTCTGATAATGTGTCCCCAAATGTGATCTCTTGATAAATGATCTGTATGGGGGTAAGAGTCAGCTTTTCATTGCTCATTTATTAGTCACATGGGTTTTCTTTTTTGTTGTTGTTGTTGTTAGCTTTGTTTTTTGTTTTTTCTTTCCCAAAGAGAGTGAGGTCCCTTCATAGGTTGTAAGCTGCCACTGGATTGTCGTTCAGGCCAGTCATGTGGGGTGTTCCAGTAGCCGTCCTCTCTGGGATCATATTCCCTTCATTCCCTGGTGCGTGTTCCAAACACTTGTGAGAGCTCCGGATTGCAGAGGCTCAAAGGGGTGACACTAGGCCAGGCTGGCACTCACCCTGCAGGACTCAGGGACAGAGTCACACTCCAGAGTGGTGAAAGGGAGTGACTGACAGTGCACCAGGATGGCTCGTGGTAGGTGGGAGGAGACAGGGAGAGAAAGCCGCTTGGGTGCATTTTTCAAGTTTCTGTTTATCTCCCATCTGTAGCTCTCGAAGCTGCTTTCCTAGTTAGATGTGGACATTGAAGTATTGCTGACCAATGCCAGAGCCACGGGAAGATCCTGCTGTGCTTTTGATCTTCCCATATGACTGAATTTCCTGCATCCTCATGTTACTGTGTGTGCACACATGTGCACACGTGAATCTTCTGGCACATCTCCCAGAAGCACTAGCTCTGGGACAAAGGGTCCATTGGTGCTTGCAGAATGCAATATTGATCACTTTGGCTTTCCTTGGCTCTAAGCCAGACACTTTGTCTTTCGCTGTGCAAGATGGCTGCCAAGCCCATAGGCGTCTTCTCCTGACAGCCCCTGGCACTGCTTCCTGAAGAGCAGAGTAAATTTTTAGAAGTCTTGAAAGATGTTGTTTAAATATGGGCCTTCGTGTTTTACCAACTATGGGCAGGAATGTGGTTCTTGTCTTTTTAACCCTTAAGATCTGTGGTGTGTTCTATATTTAGTTACGTGACCCTTCCCAGTGTTCAGTGGAACAGGAAAGTCAGTGACAGAGAATAATTCACTAAGGTTTCCCCCGCTCTGTTTTTTGCAGATTTTTCTACCTAGCAGCAATCGTAGTCAAAAAACATAATTTAGGCTTCAAACTTAATGACAGTTCAAAAGTCAAATTCACAAGGATGACAGGAAGGAATCTCCCAAGTTTTTAAAGTGTACTTTTATGTATGCTATTATCAAAATTGTAAAAATGGTTCAGGAAAAAAAAATTAATGCCAATGCTGAGTCTTGAAAATGACTGGACCTATTGACCACTGGAATAGAATAAAAATGTCTTGATTATCTTTAGGCAGACATCTTTCAAATCAAGAATGTACTGGTAGCTATGAACTTCAGCCATTTCCAAGTGTCTACTACCCAAGGCAGAGGGGACAGAGCCCATCAGAATCTCTTCATGCATATAGTGTCAAGGACTTTACCTAAGCAGATGGTAAAATGGACGTGAGTGTTCTTTAACTTTCACTCTGGATTTCTATTCTGCTTTTTTTAAAGCCTCATTGCTTTCTGTACAAAAAAAATGTATCGGCTACCTTTCTTTTCCAAGAAAGCAGATCTGAATAGTCACAAGTAGCCCAAGTGTGCATTTATTTCAGGTATAACTGTTTCCTATGGAAATAGGTTTGTTTATTTGTTTGAGGAGGTCATAGGACTTTCAGACATCATGGCACACAACCAAGGAATGGCTGAGAATAGAGCTTTCAGATTTGGTATGATTTTCATTCCAACTGTGAGACTCTGTCGCTTGCTATGAAGGTGTGCTGTGCTTTGTTAAGAAATGAATCAACTGCTTTCATTATGCTGTATTTTATTTGACTTCTGAGAGATGCCCACAGCAGGTCTTTAATCCAGGCCAAAGTGAAATTTAACCTGAATTCCAAACATTCCAGCTGTAATGGAAAGAGCACATGCTTTGGAAGGAGTGAGACCTGGGTGAGTCTCCTTGTCCTGTCACTTACCAGCTGTGTGATCCTGAGAAGGTAGCTAACCTCTTCAAATTTCAGACAGTTCGTGCATGGAATGAGGCAAATACTGTTTAGCTCACGGTGTTACAGTGAGGCTAAATGAGACAGTGGATACCAAAGTCCTAGCCCAGTGTGTGACATGGCTGATTCTTTAGCAAAGTAAATTTCCTTCATCATACTATGTGCCCTTAATTTTTAGTGGCCTCTGGCAAACCCTGTAGGGCTCAATTCCTAATGACAATTTAGTCATCTGAAACCTCAGCTGTGATTTTATATATATATACCATAGTTATGGTATTACCAGTGTCAGACATAATAAGCTTGTGATGACAGTACTTGTGATCTCACTGGGTGTCATATCCTTTGAGAGTAGTCCTGGAGAAGATTTCTGTCTTTGGCATTTTTGAACAAAGTTGTTAAATCTTTGAATTTGTAGACACAAGGAGGCTGATTCCTTTACTCTGAGCATACTTCAAATCTTTTCTTTGAAAGTAGGCAGATTACAAATGAATGTATAGTATTTTTGTATGCTCTGCATTCCTATATTGTATAAGCCTACCTAATACTCTGGTGTTAACAAGTCTATTTTGAAATTCACGCTTTCAAATTCTAAGAAATGCATTTTCAAATCAAAATTAGAGTGTAAAATGCTATGGGTTTATAAGCCTGAAGTAGTTGTTCACTCAATGGAATGACACTTCATTACTGTTTTCAGAAAAATAACAATATAATAGCATTTTTGAAGGTCTAGAAGTTAATATTTTCACCCAGGAAATCATTCTCCCTCTACATTCCTAAGGAAACACTGTGTTTTGACAACATTGTTACACAGTGTACCTATCCCTGTCAATTTCTCCACATCTTGATGGCATTTAAAAAAACTAAAAGCAAGTTATAATTAAGAACAGGGCTCACGTTAATACAGGCAGCAGCAAAGTGAGGATCAGGACCCAATCAAGGATTCAGTGGGCATGCAATTCAAAACCAGTTAGGTCTCCCTCTTATTTTGAAAGCGTATTTCAGTTATCACCTCAGGCAATCATTTTTTCGATGTTATAATGCTCACACTCTATATTTTAAAACATAGGACAATGGTTTCATTGTTTCCTGTTCCCTATAAGTGCCTCTTTAAGAAGCATGGAAAAAAGAGAATATATATATATATTTCAAACTGTACCTTAGAAGTAGAATAAAATCTATGAAAACTTTAAATCCACATGGTGGGGACAAAAGTTTCTCCTTTCTTTATTAAGCAGGATTAATGATACAGCTAATTCTGCCACAGAAAATTTAGACAGCTTGGATAGTAAAAATATTCTAGTCTTGCAAAAAGCACATTAGTGTGCATCTTAACTCCACTAAAATCAATTTCGGGGAACTTTATTTTCACAATGCTATGATTTGTCCTTCTTACATTTAATTGCCACATTAGCAATTTCCTTTACCTTACTACAATTTAAAAGATCAATGATTCAGCTCTGGGGATTTAGCTCAACGGTGAGGCACCTGCCTGGTAAGCACAAAGTCCTGGGTTCCATACTTGGTACAAAAACCCCCAATCATTCATTACTTTCTGGCAGCATACCAAGGGGTCTTTCTTGACTCCACAGATATACATTAAATATCTTGTCTATACCTTCAAACTTGGACAGCACAAAACTAAGCAGAGGACATACCTCTTCCTCCCAGGAGCTTACCTAAAGAGAAAGCAAGATAGTTGCCTTCCATGACAGATGTCCATCTATCATCCAAAGTACCACCTACATCATAAATCATAACTGACAATCCTGAATACTGAATTTAACCCCCAAGCTCATTGTATCTGGTTCACATGATAGTCACAAAGCAATTTTAAAAACATCAATATTCTAAAATGAGAAGGTATTACATAAAATTCTGGATTTATGGCTTCTGTTGAAAAAAATGGAGAGATATGGTAACACTAAGTCATCTACTGGGCGGGCAATAGCTGGGTGGAATCCTTCAGTTTCTCACAATATCCACTACTGTCCTATTATATTAAAACAGTGGTACTGTCCTACTGCTTTGGGTATTGTACTCTTGTAGGAAAACGTGTTCTACAGAACATCATGAGCACTTCTGGGAAACTAATAACTAGAATGTAGTCTGTTTTTTCTTCTTTCAGCTCTAACCTGATTTCTGGTTGACAAGACTACCAAAACTGATTGGTACATACTCATGAGCTAGTGAAACAGAGCTCCGAGAGACACAAAGAGGATGCACCCTATCTAGAACTTTCTTTGTGTGGTCCAGCAGAAGCTGGAGATCAGATGAAGATCTCAAAGTGAAGTCTGGAAAAAGTGAATCTTCAAAAGAAAGTTTCTGATTCTAAAGCAATATAGATCTTTGGGTGTTTTTGTTTTTGTTTCTTTGTTGTTGTTTTAACAGGGATTGAACTCACAACCTTACACTTGCCAGGCAGGTGCTATACCCCTGAACTATACCCCCAGACATAGCACAAATCTTTAGAAAAATAAGGCTTTAGTTTCACTGAAGACCCTTAATCATCTGGGCTTTAAAAGCTAAGGAAGTACAGAGCAAATTGAGTTCTCATTATTTCTGGGATTGAAAAAAAGAAAGAGTAGCTAGGAGAGTAGGATTTTCATGTGGTCCTTTAACAAATAAAGCCAGGTTTCCAGTAATTTTTTTTGCAGACTTCACATTCTACTATTTCAAAGGCCTAAAGTCACTTAAGATATTCCAGCAACTAGACAATTAACACAAGAAGGAAAATAATTAATTGAGGGGAGCTGTCAGCTCACAAGAAGACAATAACCTACAGGCATTTTGTATCGCTGCTGAAGAAGACAGATGACAATTTAAAGAGCTTTATCTAAAAAGTTCTAAACAGTAATTCTGTGTGTTGATAGACTGGACAGTTAACACTAATACCCAAATCAATGGTCCAAAACATCAAGTAAAAATAATATCTCAAAGCACACTGTAATATTTCTAAAATATGCAATATCTCTGTCTCTCTGTCTCTGTCTCTGTCTCTGTCTCTCTCTCTGTCTCTCTCTCTCTCTCTCTCTCTCTCTCTCTCTCTCTCTCTCTCTCTCACACACACACACACACACACACACACACACGAGACTTGAAATACAGATCAGGAGTTCTGCATGTGAATAATGGAACTTCTAGAAGAAGAGCGCATATAACTAGATGAAACAATTAAAACAGAATAATATGTTTTCCTCAAGTTTAAGGATAGGTCTAATCTTCAGATTTAAGAACTGATGAGGGGAAAAACATACTCAGAGAAAAAGGTTGTAGAAAAGAAAAGACTAATATTTAATAAA